AAAATCAAAAAGCTTACCGCTCGTTGAGTTTCTGAATTGCGGTCCCCCCAGCAGCATGAAGTATTCGCATGAGGTGGGTAAATAAGGCCTTCCAAGACCCTATCTCAAACTCGTGAAGCTGGTCGACCACCCACAGCTTGAACATGTTGAACCCGGCGTGCTTCCCAAATTGCTCTGAGAAAGCATTCTAAACCTAGACGTCAGTTATTTGTGCAATGAAGTACATAGGACTACTTACCCGTATCGGAACATATGATTCTTCGTCGAGGATTGCTTTGACACGAGCACCATCTACTGGCACTCTGAGCTGGAAAATTTATGCCCGGGCTTCTTCAACATGTCGTCGACGTGTTGCATTGTCGACGCGCTCACGTGTGGCCCGCCGCCTCATATCAAGCTTCATCCCCAGCTTGCAAACATCTGTCTTTTTCACAAGACAGCGGGGGCATGGGCACTGCCCTAGGAATTTGATAGTCGCTAATAGAATCCTAGATAATATATCAATGCCTCGTGATTCATACTTAACGTTAGTTAGTACTTACTTTTCAGGATAATCAGCAGAATAAGAGAAAAAACGCGGAAATACTCGCCGCGTGATCCCATCAGAACACTGGATCACTAGTCCATGCTCGTATGCCTCCATAAATTTTCCATCTAAGATTAAATTCCATATGGCGTGCATCAACTCTCGTTTGAGGTGAGTATGCACGCTGGCTGTTGTTGGCTCGCCAAATATATCTATATAGATCTCCTGTATATTCTTAGGAAGCTGAGAGAGCGAGTAAGCAAAATGTTAAAGATATATAAAGATACATACCGTAGGAATGTATGCCAAATGATGGCACGCCCGAGCCGTCGGCTTTCCTCGTGTGTACTTGGACTGGTTACAAAAATACATGTAAAATGGCCAGAGAGACGCATCTCCGAAGTTAGCCAGGTGGGTTGCGTCCGACCAAACCATGACCGAGGCAACGACACGCTCAAGCTCATCTCCAGGCTCATGCGGGAGCGCGTTGATTTCTGCGTAAGCTTCAAGCATGGCAGGGGAGGAATAAGACTCAGAAAACACTTTGATATCACGGTTATCAGGGGTCTTCCAGTATTGCTGGAATGGCGTCATATTGAAGGTCTTCGAGACCTCGTTTTCGAACACCTGCGTGATCAGATCAGTAAGGCAACGGTGATGAACGCCCGTAATCTCGAGCTCTGGCACGTCGTTTTCTGATTTAAGCTTCTCTTTTTCTTTTGGCAGGCGGATCTTGACAGTAGATTGGCGCCATCCATACTCTTCTCGAAAAGGGTTAGCTTTATTCTTGAGGTATTCGTCCAATCGTTTGAGTTCGCGTGTGTGATTCAAGCTGCCCAGGTCTTCCAGTCTGAAAAGAGGGTCCTTAAGGAAATGCACGAGACGATCCCACTCAGCACCAGATTTCTCGTTTGTTCCAGTGTACTGCCATGCCATCAAAATACCTGCAGAAGGGTTTGTAAAAGCTTCAAAAAGCTGATCGGAGGTAATTCCAGGTGAAGGGAGTCCTGGATGAACGCCTTCGTTAACGCGCTCCCCATCTAATGTGGGAGCATCGGTGACACCCTGCAAGGTCAAGTTGGCTTTGGGGGCTAGAGTCGGACACGTCGGATATACGCGATAAAGACCCATGGTGTCGGGTTCGGTCTGGAAAGGAACAAGCGCAGGACGCGGATCGTCTGGCTCAGAAGAAGGGGCTGGGGATGGAGATGGTGCTCGAACATGTTGAGATTCATCTGCTTCATGCAGAACACGCCCTCGTTGCTGCCGGTTAGTGGGAGGCATATGTGCGAGGTGCGTGGCTGATCCAGGGAGGTAGTCGATGAAGCGCCGAGGCATGCGTACTGTACGTCCGGAGCGCTTTGAAGTGACTGGGGGAGGTGAGGGTGAACGGGGGATGTTTGATGGTCCTGCGACATCCTCGACCTTATAGAATTAGCATATTTTAATAGATTCGTTGTAGAGACTCATGCCTCTCATGGCGTGATATGGCAGTTTCCACTAAGGGAGTATACAGCACCAACTCGCAGCACCACTCTGTGTACTGTCCACAGCAATTCCTATATGAGGCGCAGCTTTCCCGCGCTTGCGCGCCCTATAGCGCCAGCCATCCAGATGCATCCATCCACTGTCCACCAAGCTCCCTAGTGCGTATATTTCCATTTCCTTTATTAGCATAGTGTTCCACCTTTATTTTTATCATGGACTCTCACCCATATATATCCTTACATACCTACTCGGTAGCGCTTCAGCTCCGCATGACCGCGCTTAGGCGTGCTATATAAGTGCCAGCAGTACTTACTTTTCACCTTAACTTACTTTTCACCTTAACTTACTTTTCCTACCAGTCACTTACTACTTAGCAGAGTATAGTAGAAATCTATTTGTCTACACTTTGCATCTCTCTTCTCTTATATTGCATTATATTATCACTTAAGCTTAGTCTCTCTACCATTTCCGCACGCGCGCTGAAGGTACAACAATTCAGATGGTGAGTCTGAACAATGTGTTGGGTCTTGCAGAACCTAGCTGCTATTCGACCCTAAAGGGTTTCTGGACCAGGCTCAAGGCTCAGAGTAGAGGAAATATCATAAAAACTTGCTGATCTCTCAGACTCATAGTAAAACTGGTGAGAAGGTTGATTGCTTATGTAAGCTACAAAAGTGCCAACATAAGGTAAGGTAAAAACAGTCTCTACAAGCCCAGCCAGAAATGAATCCCTACAGCGCGCGCGCTTTCCCACGCCTTCGTACCTTGCGCGCACCTGCGCTTTCTCGTGCTTCGCTTCAGCGCATACCACTAGATCTTCGCTCCACTTGCTTCCCCTTTAGGGTCGAACGCGCTTGTCATCTCAAGCATAGCAGACTAGGCAACACACGACCTTCAACATTTTTAGATACAGTTAGGAGCATCTTTTGTTCCTCTCAGTATTGTTGTTTCTACATCGTTATTATAATTCACCTGCTCGGAAATGTCTTGGTTGACATCCATTCCTCTGTAGTCCAATTGTTCTTCGACATCTATCCCTACCTGAATTACCTCTGCACGCTCACTGCGTGCTCGCTTGGACTTCTTGCCGTGAGTCTTTTCCAACTCGCATTTCTTTTTGCTGCGGTGCACTGAATCAGCTAGTTTCAGTGATTTGTTTTTTGCGCAGCGAGCAGCATGTGCAGAGAGAGATTTTTGGACTGGGAAGGTCTTGCCGCACCCAATGCAAACAGGTAAGTCCATTGGACGAGGTAGTGATAGTGCTAGAGAGGGTGGGCTGCATTTAAAGGCTGACACTTAGTTCAATCGGACATGTATGGCTGCAAATTAGATCCAATTGCGCAAGCTGAATACAGTACATAAAATTCTATAAGACCATCTGCGCAAGTGAGTCGTCGTTCAGAGGTTTAGGTGAGAGAGAAAACATACCGGTGTAGAGACTCGTGCATCTCATAGTGTGATATGGCGCTTTACACTAGGGAGTATACAGCACCAACTCGCAGCATCACTCTGTGTACTGTCCACAGTGATTCCTATATGAGGCGCAGCTTTCCCGCGCAACGCGCACCATGCGCGCACCATTCCCACGCTTCACGATGTATACGCGCGCGCGCGTTCCCGCGCTTGCGCGCCCTATAGCGCCAGCCATCCAGATGCATCCATCCACTGTCCACCAAGCTCCCTAGTGCGTATATTTCCATTTCCTTTATTAGCATAGTTCCACCTTTATTTTTATCATAGTTTCTCACTCATATATATTTTTACATACCTACTCGGTAGCGCTTCGGCTCCGCATGAGCGCGCTTAGGCGCGCTATATAAGCACCAGCAGTACATACTATTATTTACCTTACTTTTCACCCAACTTTACCTAGTACTTACTACTTAGAAAGTCGCAGTAGAAATCTATTCATTAGCACAACACATCTCACATCCTTTATCTTGCTTATATCTTCACATAAGTTTAGTCTCTCTTATTTCCGCTTACACGCGCGCGCTTTCCCGCGCTTCGCGCTAATACGCGCGCGCGTTCCCGCGCCTTCGTACCTTGCGCGCACCTGCGCTTTCTCGCGCTTCGCTGAAGCGCGTACCCCTAGATCTCCGCTGCACCTGCTTCCCCTTTAGGGTCGAATGCACTTGCCATCTCAAGTATCGCAGACTAGGCAACGCACGACCTACAACTTTTTAGATACAGTTAGGAGCATTTCTTTGTTCCTCTCAGTATTGTTGTTTCTACACCGGGACCAGCGAGATATATCAAGGACCACTTACTCCGATGAGCTGTGTGGACTTGTCAACACGGATGGCACCGATATCAAGGGCTGTGATGTTCTTGCGGGAAAAGGTAGTGAGTTTGTGCATAACGGAAGGGCTCCGGCGAGAAACAGCGAGGACCACTTACTCCGTGCTCCTCGCCATAGTAGATAAGATCTGGAAAAGGTAAGTACTGCAGCGATAGACATTCGAGTATAGCTCCTACCAACATGCCTATGCGAATCTCAATGTGCTATTCAACTGGTGAGGGAGCGACAGAACTGGTTGTTGGATTCCGTCGCAAGCATGAGTTGCAGATGCCCAAGTGGACATGCCATTGACAGTAAGCTGTGTTGAAGGAAAAGGTAATGAGTTTGTCCATAATGGAAGGGTTTCATTCGAGATTGAACGAATTGAAACTCACCTGGGACATATAGTAATTCCCTGTTGCGTACCTGAACTAAGATAAGACCTTCAACGAATGAGGAATATGGTGGTCGTAGTTGGTGAAGTCGATGTGCTCACTGCTCAGTGCTCAGCGTGTAACACACTGAGCAAGTTCGAACTCCGACACCCATGCTGTCGATTGGCGCATGCTGACTGCTGACTTCACACTCCACCATTTATTAAAACTCCGGCGGAGACTTGACATAATAATAATGTCCAAGTCAAGGAAATAATGTCCCGTTGACTGCTCCCGTTAAGCTATTAACTTTCATTTTGTAATTCTAAATATGTCTCACACATTTAGCACTCTCACATCTGACGGCTTGGACAACGAAAGTGTCGTTTCTGTCGATACTTCACCATGGAATTCTGTTGTGACTGTGCTTGGTGATGTTGCATTCATAGACATCCAAAATGTCATATCTTTGGATGGTACATACTGTTTCAACTTGAATATTGACACCCCCGGCATCAAGGTAATATTCTCATGTTCAAATTCGTCTTAAAGCTTATTTAAATTTCGCAGAAAATCGTATTTCGCATTCGAGAACGGGTTGAGGAGGCTGTGGAGCCTGCTGAGTCCGCGACCAATCAGACTTCATCTCAGTAAGTCGCTGATCTTTTTGTTTTCGAATTTCAACTAATCTTGACAGGCCTGTCATTGCTTCCCCGTGCAACCTTCTCACCAGGCGCATGGGTAACCCCAATCCAGATCCTGCAAACCCGACTGTGCCCTGGAGTTACTACGTAACTAGAAGAGCCGATGAAGCGCTGGAAGATTGAAAGGATTCCCTCGTATTGTACATTACCGTATTGTTCTTAGATCTTGCTCAACTGTATCGTGTCGCGTAAATCTTGCTCAATTGTATTGCGCGTGCGTGCGCACATTTGTCCACATACTGCACATAATTTTCCCTCACCCGGCACATTTGTTTTATCACAAATTCCCTCTTTGGTTATCAGTTTCTGTGAGTATTTGAGTCTCCGATATCAATAACATCAAATAACACGCAATCACGACGCATCCTAGTCTTTCTAAATTCTTATCGCTTTTCATCTTCTCTCATGGCCCGACACCACAGGAAATCATCCTCCAGTCTTGTCTCAATGTTGCGATCCGAGTCGGACAGCAGCTGTGATGGGTTGTCGTCCTCCGAAGAATCATCCGTCTCATCTGTAGATGAGTTGTCTTCTTTGGGTAAGGATCAGTGTTTCTGGAAATGATTGCTGATTGTGACGCGTCTCACATATCTCAGGGTCTCGAAAGGGGTCGGCTAAGCCTAAAAAGCTTGAGAAAAAGTCTATGAAGTAAGTCATTATCAGTATCTGGCCGTGTTGTGCTACTTATAGCGCATATATTCTTAGAAAATCTACCAGTAAGGTTACCAATGACAAGTAAGTTGATGCCTTACTCGTGATCAAGACACTGACTATTTTCAATCAATAGGAAAGGATCAGGACCTACTCGGAGTGGGAGGGATGAGTGTATGCATGTCGCACGCTGGATCCCTCGTGGTATCGACATGTTCGTCATCCTCAAGGATACCTTTCGTATTGCCAGGTATATGGAAGCTGAAGAAGCTGCCAAGACCTCAACCGAATCTGAGGATGAAGACCTCAAGAGAGAGCGAAAAGATGCTCTCAGTGTCGTGTAAGTTCTTTCTATTGTTGTCATTATGAATGCTAACTATTGTACAGGACTAAAGATGCTCAAGAGCGTCACTTGCGGACCTACCAGAGGATCATCTTCGCCGCCCCTTACCTCCGCACTCTCATTCGAGGTCGCCACAACAGGAACAAGCTGGAAACGGAGTTGAACAGTATTTTATCTGAGGTACGTCTTCTAACAAATATTGACTATCTTATACTTACGCTATGATAAGATACAGGAAATCATCGGCCAAATCCGCTCTGAGGATGCCAGTCACCTCAAACCATTCATTGGTAACTATGTGGTCGCCCAACCTGAGGTCAAGGGACTGGAACCTCCGATTTTTTCGGAGAACAAGAAGTCCTGTGCTAGAATGGGTGTGAATCACCCACAGCTGGCGGGCATGTTGTGTCCGGTCAAGTACGTGAACGCATACCACGCTGATCCGAAGAAGTAAGTGTTTAGTTGACTGACATGGTGATATCTTACTCACGTCTCTCAGGGTACAGGAACAGCTTCAAAACGGTGAAATCAGGATGAACGCAGGTGCCTGGCCTGCACTAGCATACCCTGGTGATCCTCCAGGTATTGATTTCGACGTCGAAGACATTCAGGAAGGTCTCCTCAGAGGTCACCTTCTGAAGTGCGTATGTTTTTATTTCTTTTCTTTTTGCTATTTTGTTTGATGATATATGATGATATGTAGGTATTTCGGCACATCTATACTAGTCTGTCATCCGCCCTCATTGAAGATGGAGAGCTGTCTGTCACGCGCTCTGGCAATGCGAAACTACACGGCATGTATAAAGTCGAGGCCAAACACATTGCCTATGCACTTGTTCAGGTACGTACTTTGGTATTAAATGCATTAATGTCTCATTTGTATTCTAGAGTCGCTTTGGGATCTCGTCACGTGACAAATGGCAAGAGATGGATGGGAACTACAGCTACTGCGACGCATACTACCGCACCATCAAAGCAATCCGAGAGCCGTTCGATGAAGCGTGGGCCGAGGAACTGTTGGAATGGTGGAACAAGTCAGTACAATTTTTTTCGTGTTTACGATACTAATTCTACCAAGGACGGTCTTTGGCAATAAACGGGGTGTCCCGTTGTTCGACGTCATTGATGACGACGAGGATGACGACGACCTCGTTCTCATGAGGAAGCAATCTGCAAAGCGTGCAGTGGCACAAGTCAAGGTTTTTTCATTGTCTATCCTAGTATGACATTTCTAACTAATACATCTTTATTTTCAGTCTGCCGCCTCTGTCATTCCCCCAGTCGAAGCCGAGCCTACTGGCGATCCCGACATTTCGACAGTGCATCCTTCCACGCCCACTACCATGACTTCCACGCCCGCTACTTCCACGCCCACTACCTCCCCGCCTGCTACCTCCACGCCTGCTACCTCCACGCCTGCTACCTCCCCGCCTGCTACCTCCACGCCCGTTACCTCTATGCCAACTACCTCCCCGCCAACTATTTCTCCACCTCCCAAGATAGCCACTCTTTCCCCGCAGCGGAAATCCATCCCCAAACCACGTCCCATCCGACCAGCTGGCACGAGCTCCTCTTCCGCACCATCTGTCCCCCCTCCGAAGCCTGATACCCCTGCTCCTACATCCGACAAGAGCAAGAAACGAAAGTCAGAGGGGTTGGAGGTTGACGGCGACAGTGAAAGCTCACTCAGCGAAGCCGAGTCCGTGCCTGACAGCCCAGTTGTTTCAAAGCGTGGCAGGAAGGGCCGAAAGAAGACTACCGCCACCGCTACTAAGAAACGCAAAGGAAGAAAGTAGTTGGTGTTCTCTGGTACGTACTCACTCTCTTTCTAGATATTTTTCTGATACCACAATGCAGTTCAGCTCATTCGACACATTTTTTACATACTGATGTCTCCCGTCACTCACTGGTTGCTCTCACTGTACGATTCTCCATGGTTCGGACATTCACTTTCGCATTCGCATATTCGCTCTGGTCACTTCACAGTTCATTTCTCCCATGCTTGTACAACAAGTTCCTAGTTCACTCGCATTTACAGTAGCTCAGTGTGTATAATCAATGTCATGTACTACAACAATGATACGTGCTTATAATACCATTCCACTGCAATAAGCTATTGTAAGGTGTCTGAAATTGCTCAGGCCTGCTAAGCAGTCACCACATGTCCATTATGATGCATGACCCATCAGCTGATGGTCAAATGAGCAAAATTCAGTTTCATGATCTGACCGTCTAGAATGACCTGAGGCTGGTCTGAGCTTATGGGCCATGGTGACTGTGGTGAGGCTGATACCGGATGATAAGACCTGAGCATGTCTTACCTAAGTTTAGGACTTTTGGTGATGTAGTCTATCGCACCTAGTGTTCGTGCATTCGTCACACTGTGTCACAGGTTGCCGACATTGCCAATTAGAAGTCCGCTACACACACGCAAGTTCGAGTTCATGCTTTGTCTATGTGTAGCTACCAGTTTTGTTTTGAACAAAAGAATATCAGATATATTAACCAGTAATGATATCTGATCGAAACAAATAGTTATGACTATGTTTGAGAAGCTATTTGGGCTTAAAACCCGCAGGGTTTTACAACCTGAAACACTGTTTCGAAACCTGTGAAGGAAGTCCTGATGAGCCGTGATTCCCAAATATAAGGAGCCCTGCGACGTGTCATGGCGCAGTGTGGACTCCCCATTCTAAGGAGAAGGGCTAAGTGTTGCAAACTCACCTTGTTAACACATTATCGGCATTGTGTAGCGAGTGAATGGTTCCAGCACCTGTGATTCCTGCAGGTAAGGCGCCAAAATTAACGCATGCTTGTGAAGATAGATGGTGAACGCTTCGCTCGACCATCTCCCCATTGATTTAACTACATCGAAGGGGACTCCTCTAAGCAGGTACTCCAAGGTCCCTCCGATGCGCAATCCATGTCCTTTCAGATTCCCTAGTTCAGCCCTCTTGATTATCCTGCTGATCCGTTTCCAGAACTCTGATCTAGTCAATGGTCTCACACCCTTCTTGTGTCTCCAAGCAAACAAGTGGCTGCCCCGCGACAGGTCATTGACCAAAAAATGATTGAGTATGGCTGCTTTGGGGTCTGAGGCATCCTGTTGTTGCGCCCAGTATATGCCTTCGCCTGTCAAGGCTGCTTTGGTGCGCGGTAAGAAAATCTTGGTGACCCTGAGCCCATGTCTGTCCTCTACATCCATCTGTAAGTCTGAACACTTGACGTGCTTTGTTGGATTGAAAGTCTTCATCATTCTGACTGTGAGTTCTCCAATACGACACAATGCGTAGAATGCGCTCATTAGACACGCGAATACTGCCGCATCAAGAGGTGTTGATGGATTAAGGTGAGATTGAATGTCCAGAATTAATTTGATTGTGAAAGGATTGCGCTTGGTGCATTTAGAGGATTCTGGCGCTAGCTCCGAGGCTCCATCTAGCGACACCTTCAATTCGTCCTGTTGAACTTCCCAGAGTTGACCGTGAAGAGTGTGCCAAGCTTTCACTGCGTAAACATAGTTTGTTAGAGTCTTTCCAGAATACGTCCCAGCACAGCTTGCTATAAAGTTCAGCATGGTGCGGGTGTCTACCGGGCATCTTTGGCTCTCTGGTATGTTCCGTTCGTCGCAGAATACGTGGAAAACCAAGAGACCTGCCCCATAACACTCTCTCGTCCCAGGCGCCCACAATAGGTTCATCACCGTTAATACTCTCTCTAAGTCTTCGTCCGATATGGTTAGAAACTGACTGTCTGCTCCTGTAGCTGTCCTGGTTTTGAACGGAAACCAGAGCTTCAATCTGTCGCATGCTAAACAGTGGGGATGGAGTTGTGAGGGTATCGGCGTTAGTCCCGTTCTGTATGGTAATGGTTTCACTATTGGATCAAGAGGAAGAACTGCACTAAAGCGAGAGATATTGGTCGGCACGATGTTGACTCTGGTGGATATGGTAGAGTGCGTCATCGACGATTCCTGAGACTTTCTTGATGGTGCCTACGGCACCGTCGAGAGAAGGTTCCTCGAGGGTATCTGGTGAAATTCCGTCCGTATTGTATTCTCCCGGGTCTGTGGAGACGACGAATGGGTTAATGATGAAAGGATTGAGTGCGCTGGGGATGGGGATGTCTGGTAGCAAGTGTTCTGTGCTACCGTAGATGCCTCTGGATGGATCATCCGCTGGATTGGCTTTGCTGGCGACATAGGTAGGGTGGAATGAATACGGTGCTGTGGAATCGTCGATAAAAGTGAAGATCCTGCGAAAGACTTCGTTGACTGCCGCGTTCCTGCTGCGCCCATTTCTCCAACCTTCGATGACTCCTTGGTTGTCTCTGAAGACCTTAAAGTTATGTTGCGTCCCTCCCATGCTGACAAGGTAGAGAACGAGTAACTCAAACCCGACTGCTTCTGCCCACCTGATGTCCCTTTTTCCGTTAAGGGTCTGCCACCCTTTGCGCAAATGCCATGCTCTCCACTTGAGGCCAATGGTGATGGCGATCCCGAATCCAGAGCTTGCATCAGAGTAAGCTTCCAGATTGTGTAGTGTGAGTGGTCTTGGTATCGAGTGTCCAATGAAAGAGCTCTGCAACAAAAGCTTCCACCAGGCGAGGTCAGCTTCAAGCTTTTTGATGGGTCTCCATGGGATAAAAGGTCTGATGAACGCGAGGCATAGCATCGCTTCGAGTGACATAAGATAAGCACACTGTAGAAGAGGAATGGGAAGTGGGTGAATATAGGTGGTATGAGATAACTCAAGTAGTCCTTGGTGAGCGAGATATTCGTCGGCCCAAGGGGATTGCTACTGAGAAGGTTCCTCTAAGTGTATAAAATGGAGGGAAACACTGAACCGGGCGCTTGGTCAAGCCTGGTAAGGCACACGATGATGAGCGAAGCGCGAGCGAGCAAAAGCGACATGAAGTGCTGATGAGCGATAGCGGCCGACGATAGATAATGGCATGCGACTTATAATGGAAGCGCGCACTAAGCGGAAGCGGTGCGCGTGCGGGTGGTGGAGCGCAGTGACTATTAATGAGTCAGAATACTAATGGGCAGAGTTTCTAGTAATGTATGGCGGCGGCACTCATATTGTACTTAGATACTTTAGATTTAGAGGGCAACTTAGACTTATAGTCCAATGATGTGTGGGCAGAAAAAGATAGTCATTATACAGTTTATGCGCGTCTATATATACTAAGTAATGTTAAGCACTGTCAAGCGCTAAAGCAAACTGAGAAGCAAAGCGGACGCAAGATAATATGTAATAAGGGTCCATAACGGAAAACATACGAAATATGGCCATAAGCGCTGGAGATATGTCAGAATCAATGAAAATAGAGTCGGAATACGCACCAACGAACCAAACAGACATGGAATGGATGGACAAAGGATGTGCGACGGAACTGAGGATGCGTGCGCCAACACGCGACTAATGAGCGACCAGAGCACTGGCGCGCGCAAGCGGCTGACGAAGCACTTGAGCGTGCTGGGTGAGATATGAGTCGCACTATATGTCAGAAATTCCTAATTTAGATTTCAATGCCTTGTAAGGCATTTCAAGGTTCAAAGGCAAAATGGCCTTTGAAATGGGTTTAAATAATAGAGTCGTACTTAAAATTGCCATAGAAATGTGGTTAAAATGGCATTGCAACAGATTGCAATGGGCCTTGCAATGGTACGGCACATTGCAATTTGGTTGCCATATTATTGCAATATATTGAAATATAGCAAGATTCCTTGCAAATTCATTCCAAGAATACCTCATTGCAACCACTTTAGGAAATTTGCGACATATTGGGAAGTGATAGAGACAATGGGATTTTAGATCCCTGCAAGCCCACAGAGATATCAGTCTACAACGCCCTTTCAGCATGACAAGCGTGGTATGCAGCAACTTACCATAGAGCTGCTGCGTTGTAGAGACTCGTGTGTCTCATGGTGTGATATGACAAGTTTTCACTAAGGAGTACATAGCACGAACTTGTAGTGTCACTCCGTGCGCTACCTGCAGCTATCCCTATATGAGGCGCAACTTTCCTGTGCAACGCGTGCCATTCCCACGCTTCACGATGTATGCGTGCGCGCACGTTCCCGCGCTTGAGCGCCCTATAGTGCCAGCCATCCAGAAGCATCCATCCACTGTCCACCAAGCCCTCTAGTGCGTATATTTCCATTTCTTTTATTAGCATATCATTCCACCTCTATTTTTATAATGGACCCTTACTTATATATATCTTTACATACCTACTTGGTAGCGCTTCGGCTCCGCATGACCGCGCTTAGGCGCGCTATATAAGCGCCAGCAGTACATACTACGAGAGGGGAGTTTTCCACTTACTTTTTCACTTACTTTCCCTTTAAACTTACTAGTTACCAACCACCATTTTACTTAGCAGAACATAGTAGAAGTCTATTTGTCTACACTTCGCATCTCTCTTCTCTTATATTGGATCATATTAGCACTTGAGTCTAACTTCTCTATTATTTCTGCATACGTGCGCGTGCTTTCCCATGCTTCGCGCTAATACGCGCATGCGTTCCCGCGCCTTGCGCACCTGTGCTTTCTCGCGCTTCGCTTCAGTGCACACTTCTAGATCCTTGCTGCACTCGCTTCCCCTAGGGTCGAACACACTTGTCATCTCAAGAATAGCAGACTAGGCAACGCGCGACCTCACAACATTTATAGATACAGCTAGGAGCCTCTTTTGTTCCTCGTTGTATTGTTGTTTCTACAGCGTTCCCGCGCTTGAGTGCCCTATAGCGCCAGCCATCCAGATGCATCCATCCACTGTCCACCAAGCT